AGTGGGTCCCGCGGTCACCGTCTTTCTCCGCCCCGCGCCCCGATCCCGCTCCGCGCTGCACTCTCTCGCCGCAGCTCCCGGTTTCTCGCTTTTCCGTGGTCTTCGTCCTTGCCACGCCCCGCGGCCCCCGCGTCGCCCCGGCTGCTCCTCTGAACTACACTCAGGGCCCCGAGGGCTGCCGCTCAGGCCCAGCCCACAACGGGGAGCGCCGGTCTCAGTTCAGCTCCCTGGGCATCGGCGCCCGCGTTAGGCGCCCTTCTGCTGTCAGCCTGGGCGGCGACCGCAGGTTACGGCCTTTCGTGCTGCGGGGACCCTGCTGTCCGAGCCCTGGGCAGTGCGGTCCGAGGTCCAGGGAGGGAGACCCAGCCCGTGCCCATCCCGCCCTCACCCGCAGGGTCCTGGGCTGACCCGAGCGGCCTTGAGCATCTGCGGGCGCCGTACCTCCTCTCCCCAGCGCCCCATCTCCTTCTCACCTGTGTGGGACCTGTTCTCGGAGCCCACTTTTTCCTGGTACACCCCGTCCTGCGGAGGGCGCCCTGCTCCAGCCTACAGTTGTCAGGCCCTGGCCCTGGGGACGCTGACCCGCTTCTGCTGTATTCCAGCTTAGAGCAACCCTGTGGTCTCAGGAACGCAGAGGTGGGGCTTCCGAGGTGAGCAGAGGCCGGCACGGAGCCCAATGTGCTGCCACGCCTGGAGGGAGATCTGGGTCTCTTCCTCCTCTCTGCTTCCTGCCTGGCCTGCGCTGAGCAGTTTCGTGTCCTCCGTGCCTTCCTGGGCACCTTCCTCGTGCCTGAGAGCCTCAAATAAACAGCCCAAACAAGTCCTACCTCCTTTCCTCGATTTTATCCCGGCCAGGGAAGGCCAAGTCCTGCACACTGCTGCTGACCCGCCCAGCGCCCTCCCCAGTTCCATGGGTCACGAGCCCCTCCTGTGGGACCCTTGCCATCACTACCGCACCGCTCAGCCGCGTCCACTCAGAGCTCGCCGTGTCACTGTGTCCCATGTTCTCCTGGGGTCTCCCGCACCCCGTGATCACCCCACATGCCTCCCCTTGCCCTTGGCACTGATCTCCTGACCCACATGCCTCCCCACGCACGCCGGAGAACCCTCCGGGTCCAAAAGCGCCTTGCCATTAGTCCCCCTCTTGATTCCCGCACCACATATCCAAAATCTTTTGCCACTTAGTCCTGGGGTTCTCCCACAGTGGTCCTCTTCCAGCAGCAACTCCTGCCTTTGTGGCGCCACCAGCACTGCTATTCCCAAATACCTGACGAAGTCCTTTCTGAGAGGGTCGCGCCTCTCTCGGTGTCAGCCTGGGCCCCGCTGTGGGCTGGAGCAGAAAGCGCCCGAGGTCTGGCCCAGAAGTGGAGCTGCCGGTTCTCAGCTCTCTACTCAGGGCACTGCA